TTATTTGTAATTCATAGATATTCTCATTGGCTTTTTACTAAATCTTCTATTGTTTTTGTTTTTGTTGCAGCTCATGTAGCGAGTAGCGAGCTACATTTGGCAATAGTAGACTTTTGCTTCCGGGACGAAAAATTGAGAAAATTTATTTTGTTAAATAATATATCAAGAAATCTGTAGGTTTAAATCAAGAAATTGCGTATGATAATATCATATGGACAATTAACAATTGCGCTTATAGTTTGCTAACGTTTAAGGACAATAAATTTTGTTTTTATATTTTCTAAAATAATTATATCAGCAAAAGTTAGCTCTGACTTGGTTATCTATCTGTATTTCTAGTGACTGTGGTCGGTAGTCTGTAGTGACTTATTTATGTTTAATGTTATTGAGATGTGAGACGTAATGACAATTAGATTTACGTAATTTAAGAAGCTTTTAATTTTATGACGTCGTAAACGGTGGTTACTCATAGATGTAGTAACGTACTTCACGCTATTATATAGTGAGGCATTGTATGGGAGTACAGTATGATATTGTATAGTGTGGTGTCGTACGGCCTTGGTCGTACGGTATCGTATGATTAAATGTGGTTCTTTAAATATATATTTTATAATTGTGTTTTTCTTCTGAAATATGTTTATAAATAAAATGTGGAATGGTCTTATTTTTTATTCAATGTTGTTACTATTCATATCAATGTATAATATTTTCATTTATGATACAGTTCTATATATATATATATATATATAGCATTTAAGTATTTTTTATTAAAACATTATTTGAACTATTTAACTATTTTAAATAATTATTACAGAATACATGTATATAAGTTTTTCTTTTATTTAAAACTTATTTGTAATTTTTTATATACTTTAAACAAGATTTATAATTCTATATTAAAAAAATATGTGTTAAAGGAATATGCTATACCTTAATTAAATTTAATTTATGTTTTTCAGTAATAATAATTAATAATAAATAATATTATTAATAATATTTGTATATAATGTAAATTATAGAAAATAAATTAAGATTTTGTTAGGAATATAAGCTAAACATTTTTTATATTCATTTTAGGCACGGCCTTTACTAACTTTAGAATTATCTCATCCTAAAATATCTATGAAAATAGCTGAAAAAATGGGCGAAATTCATAGTTTAGATATACCAATGTCCAAAGAGCCGAATTGGCTATGGAATTGTATGAATCGCTGGTTGAAGAGTGTAGCTATTATATTAAAACAAAATAATTGGTGAGTTAACTTTTTTATTTTGACAAAAAAAAAAAATATGTATATAAAAAAAACGATTTCAATATATAATGTATGTTTTTATTTTTTAGGAAAAATAATGAAAAACAAGCTCAATGTGTACGAGAATTCGACTTCAATGCAGAGTCACAGTGGCTTAAGTCTATGATTGATAAAGGAAATTATAAAGTATTTTTCTGTCATAACGACTTGCAAGAAGGGAATATACTGTTTCGTGAAACTGATGTAACCTCGAATCCAACACCAAGAAGTTCCCTTAATGAAACGCGGTAAACTTCAATACTTACTATTATATTTTTGGCAACTATAGTTTTTGATTCATTATATACTATTTGCAGACCTGATAGTTCTTCCTTAAATCTAAGTGATACAATCAATGCCAACATTGAAGATAGTGCAAAATTTTTACAGTAAGTGTAATTCTATAACATTTTCTTTAGAGTATATTTATTGAATAATTATGTATATATATTAGTTATTAAATATTTTTTTTATATTCTAAATTTTAATAATTGTAAGTAAGTATAAAAATATATAAATATATATATATACCTAGTTATCGTATTATAGTCCTGTAACAACATAAGGTTCTAGATAAAAATCATTGAGAAATCTTTTACTTTCTAAACATTATAGTTTGTGAAGTTACTAATCGACTCATGACTCATTCTCGTATATCATCCATTTTTACCTCATTTTATATTTCAATACAATACTTCCATCAATTATACTAACAATTTCACAAAATTGATCCTAACCACTGTATGTTATTGTTCTAGTAGCCCAAAGTAGAATGCTGGTTTAATAGTTGTTAAGAGAATAGCGTGGGTCTTGCTCGTATGGAAGGACAAATGACAACGAGATGCAGATCCAAGCATTCGTAGAATCACGTGTTCATTGAACTTGTTATTCTGCGTGATTATGCATAGTTATCCTAACTATTTTATTTATGTAATCTGGGGACTACATATTGCAGAAAACATGAAAGAAACTACGACGTACGCATATATATTATATATATTAGGACATGGATTAGATAGAGAATAAGTGATAAGAAGAGTTATTTAGAATAACGAATAAATGAGAAGTGGGTGGGATTTTATTAAAACTGGATCGAGGTGAAGAAACGTTCTATCAGCTCGAGCCAAAGATCAAAGCTTCATTAAGAAAATTATATGTTTTTTAATCCATAGAAACCGTTGTTCCAATTAGTTTTATATATAAATGTCGATTCTTTTCACATGATTGGGGTTCTCTTTGCCAATTTTCTTCATTTAAACTTTATTTAAGGATGTTTAGCTATATATTGTTATAAGTATAAAACGATTTGTTATTTATTAATCGTTTCAAAATTGAATCAGTTTTATAATTTATAATTAGTTAGTATTAAAGTTATTTATTAGAATTGGAACACATATTTCAAGTTATTTATAAAATTATAAAAATTTTTAGACTAAATTTCGATAAATGTGTTTAGCTTTAAAAATGATTTTCATTTAAGTTTTTGAGTATTTTTTTACTATTTTATAACTATTGTATTTATATGTTAAAGTTCACTTAAATCGTTTTTAAATCAACTAACTATATCAGTTGTAGTAACATAGCTATTACTTTGTGGAACTCAGTATTAATTATAGTGCTTTGATGATTTTTCTTCGTATTTTGTATCTGTTAAGTCAATTACTATTAATCTCTCATAAATAGCAATATATTTTTTCTTTAGATTGTTTATTTGTTGAATATATTTTACATGTCACTTTTATGTCTTTGATTCTTTTAGCAATTCTTCTATATCATCTTCCGATTCTTTGTTAAATTGTACCTCTGAGGATGATTTAGATCTTATAATAATAGATTTTGAATATTGCGCATACAATTATCGTGGATTCGATTTGGCAAATCATTTCCTTGAATGGACATTTGACTATAGTAATCCTGCATTTCCTTTTTACTTTCATCATATACATCAATATCCGAATGAAGAACAGCGAAACAATTTCATCATAACTTACCTTAAAAAACTAAACGAAAGTGACTTAGCCTACATCCCAACAGCTAATGAAGTTAAGGATGTACAGGATGAAGTGCGCCTTTTCACTTTATTTTCACATTTGTTCTGGATTTTATGGTCAGTTGTAAATGTTACTTCAAATATAGAATTTGGTTACTGGGTATGTATAAAATTAACTACAATTATTTTAACACATAAGTGATGGGCTTATTAACTTCATATTACAGGAATATGCTGAGACAAGACTTGGGGAATACAAGAAACTGAAAGAGGAACTAGTACGGTGCTTGAAAAGCGAGTGTCCATGAAACTAGATGTATACTTAAACATTTTTCGATTGGCGGAACAGAAATTATAGCAAATGTACCTCGTTTTATATGTTTAGTGTACATTATTTACAAATTTGAACAACCAAGTGAACTAAGTTAACAATATTATTAACAATTTTTATAGAAAAATTGCTGTGATCGTTTAAGTAAAAAAAAAAACACAAAAAACTAAAATTATTTAACTCACACGGAGCTTCATTCTTCTTTTACACATAAAAAGTATTAAGTAAGCATTTCTTTAAAAGCACATACCTTCGAATTTATTCATACATAAATAAAAACAATTTTATTTCAAAATTAAAATTTATTTATTTAACAATTGCAAATAATGTCAAACTAAGGAATATACAATATCAAAGTAATATATATAACAGATGTAGAATCAAGTTAAGAGTGCGTCCATTGTGCGCTAGAAACAGTGTTTTTAATGAAAAGCATATGATATAATGGATTAGAAAAACAGGAGTCTAATGCTAATAATACTAAACATAAAGTGAAAAAATGGTATTTATATTTTTGAAATAATAGATATCTTACCAGCGATATATAGAGATATATATACCAGAGATATGTCTCTTTAATTACTATATACGTTCTTGATGAACAAGAAGTCTTATAAAATTGATATCTCTGTAAATTATAAATATATATAGAATTAAGTATTGAAAAACGTTTTATTACTTCTCATAAAGTAAGGATAAGAGATCGGAACAGAATTCATTAGAGGATGTAATTCTCAGCTGCAAGTTTTTTCAAGTGAAAAAACTTTTCAAGTACGGCTTTGGGTCAGTTGACTAATAAACGCTGACTCTGAGTTTCAAATTTGGCAGGGTGCGAGTACAACCTTTGGGACTTGCAGTCTCAAAAACATTATTTACGAATAATTAAATACAAGTAATAAATACAAGTAATAATAATTAAAATAATGTAATAAACACAATTTTTGTTGTTCTAATTTACTACTATTCGAAACCTTGTTGTTTAAAAAAAAATTGAAGTAGTTACTGCATGCTATGTTCTATATGTTGATCATATATTCTTACTTGTTTAGTTAGCCGCTGCAGACGGGAATCGTCCTTGGTCGTGTCCAGTGAATGATATATATTACACTTTTATCAGAAGATACATATTTACATGGTAGTCATTTGCTTCATATTGGAATTGAGTTATGGTACATTTGGAAACAGTTACTGAAAAAGTACGCAACGTGTGGATACCAATACAAGGCTCTCTAAGTTCAGGTTAAACTATTTCCGAAAGGCATTGTCAGTAGAAAAGCACATAAACGTATGTGAAGGGACTGGGAGAAACGATTTCAGAAGCGTTCAGAAACATTCGAAGAGAATAAATAGGATATGAATCTAATTTCTTTTATGAACGTATATAGTCTTGTTATTTTTCAATGCAAAAAAAGTTAAAATATTTTGTAAGTAAACCAAGTGGTCCTTTCAATAAGATACAATACTTTGTAAGTGTACTGAAGTAATAGTCGATTATAATGACAAAATAGAGAAAGCATACATATGAAACAGTTGAACATATCTTCATATATAATGGATAACGAATTAGCATATATGACTTCGATTGAACCGCAAGTGATAAAATTAAGTGATGACAAAACTAAGTGATTGTTGTTTAAGATAGATTACTGCTTGACATGAAATATGGTATATCCTTTGTATTTTTTTTTTTTTTTTTTTTTTTTTTTTTTTGCAGTAGGTGGAAAGCATCGAAAGCCACAGTGTGAGACTTGAACCCACTAAAACTACCTCTTAGGAATGAATGGAGAAGATTCCCACAGCAATGTGGGAACTTCATTCCAGTAATCAGGGGAGAGAGAAAGTAGATAGACATCCTTTGTATTGCATAACAGCAGTTCTTTAAATAATGTCTGGAATAAAAAATATATCAGTTGAAATAAAAAAAATATTGGTTTAAAAATAAGTAAAAAATAATGAAAAAGTTAGCTTAAAACTTTACCTCCAGTCAGTCAAATTATAAATACAAACTATTTACTAATTATATTAGTAATTATATATACATATATTATTTGTCTCTGCAAAAGTGTAGTATTTAACAAATTTAACAGGTTTTATAGGAGAACGATCAAAAATTTAATGGTGCTACGGTGAAGTTATGGGAATATAATTTGTAGCAATTGGTAAAAGTGATATTATATAAATGTTATAATGTGGATTTTAAAGCAGAAAAGGGTTGAATTGTGGAAATATGTATCTAGTTCGAATAAAATACAACCACATAAATTAAGTATACAATAACAGACGACCAATGTCTTTTACTGTAGACTTTCCAATAAAATAACTGCTAAATCTAAAACTTGTAAGCTAAGTATATGCAAAAAGTAATGCTACTTATGACTGCACAGGGAAATGAGATATGGCATATGGAAGAAAAGAAGATTGGTAAGCAATATTTGATAGCGAAGTCCTTCGAACAAGGAGATAAAAAAAAATACTGAAGTCATTACGATGATAAGCTGAACCAACTGATGGAGTTTGACATAATTACTCGATCTACGAAAAATTCGGAACGTAGAAGATGAAACCCAAGAAAAGAGGAATTATTACTGTTAGTTATTATTAGATTGACTAGATGAACAGAAATGTTTGAAGGCAGATTGTATATTACGTCTAACTACTTAATACACTGGTAAATCCTTTATAAAAGTCCTTGACATCATCATCGGGAGAATATTTTGAAAACTTTATTTAAAACACAAATGTCAAAAAACTGTCCTTTTTTAAAACAAAAACTACATCTATAAAAGTAGGCTTTGGAATTGAAAAAAATTTGATACCCCTAATATATTTTGTTTGTTATTCATATATTTTTTGGCCCATTGTTATTCAAAATTAAATTGTAGGGAAAATATAATACACAAAAAAAAATGGCTCTATACAATAAAAAACCAAACGTACATACAATATTGCATATGACTTCTAAACATATGTATGCACATATAATTAGATTCAAAATAAGGCATATTCAAGTAAAATAAATATAGTAAGTACTAATTTAGAACTTCGGTTTCATTGATTATTGGACACATTATCTCTTTTTTAGAATAACGTTAACATCCATCTATTAAACAAAAAAAAAATCAATGACAAAGGAATTTAAATAAAATCGGTAAGATTGTCCCACCTTTTAGAAGTATATAAATATAAAATATATTATATAGTTATATATATAGATATATATATATATATACAAAGGACATCGTTTGGAAACTATACATAATAAAACTATCGGATTGGTATGAAATCTTTTGCCCTCCAATTTTGATATTTACAAGTATTAAGAAGGATTAGCTAAATAGGTAAGATTGGTTCATAATATCCTATTCTTAGTATGTTTACTCTTTTACTAAACAAAATCTATATTTGTAAAAAACTGATCCACACAGAAGACTCCTCTAGGTAAATTCAATTATTAAAGAAAGTCCAAAGTACAAATTTAAAAATTAAAAAAAAAAAAATTTATCTGTCATTTTCTACTTTCTACTTTTCTACATTCATTTTCTACTACATACTACTATTTTCTACTACTTTCTACTTTAACTTGATCCCTTTTCCATTGTAAAAATCTTTGAATATGAAATATAGTACAGAAATATTTTGCAAAGAAAGCTTAACTCGACTATATGTTTCGAATGAATGTTTTCGAATATATTGCGAAAATAATTACAACTTATGGAACAATTCCTAGATCCAATGGCACTTTTCCAATGGCACTTGTAGTACATAATGGACGGCAGAAGCACAACAAGGTATTAATTATTAAGGACTTAAGCATTTCACGTTCTTGATAGGAGCTGCTTTAACATAGAAGTCAGCTTCATTACAACAAAGCCTATCAAATGCTATAACTTACATTAATTTCTGAAAAAGTGAGTGACATTAGAAAATAAAATCCAGGAGTCCACAATTCCGGTTCAGGAAAGTTAAAGCTTGTAAGTGTAAAAGCGAAATTATTTTAATCCTTAATTATGGTAACTCTTTTCTAACTTCATTATCCTGAGGGTTTTGAATTTAAATTTCGCGATCGCTGGCTTAAGTGGATATTGAATTAACAACTGAAAATCCTATACACAATCATTGATTAAGTATATTTGTTCCCGTAAAATGTAAAACTGGATTTGAGGAGTGAAGTAAATTATAACCGCATCAGTAAAAGAAAACGTTGATCATAAGTTTGAATCACTACCACTAATTTGGAAAATATGAACAGAGTGGAATTAGTTGGTGGGCTGTCATATTCTCCAAATGAAGGACCAAATTGTAACCAATCAGTCGCCACACTCAATCGTCCTATTACACAATCAATGATTAAGTTTATTTGTTCTCGTCAAATGTAAAACTGGGTGTGAGAAGTGAATAAACCTTTATCGCATCTGTGAAAGAAATCAAGAAATCGATGATCATAAGTTTAAATCACTACCACTAATTTGGAAAATATGAACAGAGTGGAATTAGTTGGTGGGCTGTCATATTCTCCAAATGAAGGACCAAATTGTAACC